TGCCTCTGCCAATACTTTTTAATCTTACAGACAAAAAAAGCTAAGCCCTAATATTTAAAGAGCTCTTTTTAAAAATTGTGAGAAAAGAGCAAACAACCCCAAAGAAAATGGGTAAGAGATATGGGCAGAGTTCACTGAAGACAAAATGTGAATCGTGTTTGAACATTTGAAAAGATTCTAACCTTGCTCATACTAAGAGAAATGTACGGGGAAGAGGGAGGGTGGTTGGTAAACTCTCACCTAATGGGCACAATGTAGGGATACGTGGCACATCTCCTGGGTGGAGGCCTCAACTACAACTTAGACTTCACTTAACAAATGGAAACAATGTAGCTAATTATTTGTACCCTCATAGTCATCTGAAACTTTTTTAAAAAGAGAAATGTACAGTAAAACTACCCTATGATATTTCTTATCTCTCAGATCAGTAGGAATTTGAGTTTGATGGCATACTCAGTTGGCGAGGCTCTGAGGAAATGGGTACTATCATCGTAAGTTGCTACAGCCCCTGTGCAGAGGCGCTTGGTGCTATAAAACAAAATTACAAATGAATTGACCCTTCTCACTTCTTGGAATATAGTCCAAAGATTCACTTGCATAAATAAAGTAGTTGTATGTATAAAGCTATTCTTTGCAGGCCAAATGTGATATAGCAAAAGACTGGGGAAAAAACGAATTTCCATCAAGAGAGGGCTAGTTGAACAAATTAGAGCACGTCCATCCAAAGGGCTGCTGTGCATCTCTATAGAAATGAGGGGTGGCGGCACCATACACTGCTGTGGACCACTGTATGTTATGGATCACTTAAATATGTTAGTCAGTGGAAAAAGCAAGATGCAGATCAATGTGCCATGCTTTAAGAAGGGGGAATGCACACACATACTGTATACCTGTCTATATTTAGATTTTCTAAAAACATAACAAATGGAAAACCTGAAACTTAATCAAAACAGTTATGTTGCTTTCTTTTTTCAGATTGTTGTTAGTGGATGGAAAGCTACTTATTTCTGTATATTCATTTTCTGTCCTGCAGCTTTACTGAATTTATCAGTTCTGATGTTTTTTGGTAGAGTCTTTAGGGACCACACTTAATAATAATGTATATTTATAAAAATGCCAAAAGGATAGATTTTTATCATCTCACCCTAAGTAAATGATAAGTTGGTAGGAGATGGATATGTTAATTAGCTGGATCGAATCTTTATACATTATGTACATAAAACATCTCATTGAACTCCATCTCATTGAACACACATTATTATTTGTCAGTTAAAATAATTTTTTTTTTCAAGACAATCTCACTCTGTCACCCTGGGGTTGAATGGTGTAGAGTCATGGTATGTTGAAGCAACCTTAAACTCTTGGGCTCAGCCTCTCAAATAGCTGGGACTATAGGCCCCCACCACAAGTCCCAGCTAGTGTTTTTCTTTTTAGAAGAGACGGACTCTTGCTCTATGCTCAGTCTGGTCTCGAACTCCTGAGTTCAAGTGGTCCACCCATTTCAGCCTCCCAGAGTGATAGGTGTATAGGTGTGAGCCACCACACCTGGCCCTCAAAAGAAATTTTTAAAATTTAATTTAAAAAAATTTTTTAAACCAGTTATAAAAGTGAGGGATTGAAGCATGACTTTTCTGAATGGATCTTGTTTGTATATTTGACTTATGAACCATGGAAATGCTTTGCAAAATTATAAAGCAAAATTACTTAAAAATGAAGAAAAAAACATTGAAAGCAAAATGAAATAAATGAACCCATGTGTCACATTGATGGCGTAAATATACAAAGAGGAATTATTGCAGTTCACTTGAAATACAGTAATTTGTACATCTCTAGTAGCGTGTCACTTAAGGTGAAAAAAAGAGCTGCAAAGAAAGTATTGACAGTGATCATATTGTTAATACTGGTGTTGTCATTTTGACTAACCACGTGGCCTGTTGATCCGTCCTCCCGTCTTCCCTTGTTTTTCCACCTTCCTCCTCTTCTTATGTAATAGTTTGGTCCAGGATGATGACTGAGATGGCAAGATTGGCACTAGAGGGCAGTGGCTGCTTCCCTCTGCTACTCTGTCGCCTTCCTAGCCCTGTCCCATTGCCTCATTTCCACACAAAGTCTTCCTACTGATAAAAGGGGGCTTGTCAGGACATTTACTTAACAGGGTATGATTAATTGAAAGCTTTTTTCTAGTTGAGGTTTACGTAGCTTATGACCCACTAAACTCTTTTGGAGTAAGTTTAGAAAAGTAGGAGAACTGGAAGTGTGAACAGATTTTAAAGGGCACAGGTGTGTGTGCGTGTGCACCCATGGAATACTGATACAACTGTAATTTTCTCAGCAGCATTGATGTTAATCTTTCCTTAGACCTGATCAGTCTCTTGCCACCCATTTATATGGCTAAAATGTCTAAGCAAAGCCCATATTAAAAAATACTGACATTAGACTTGCTTAGAATCCTCTAGTTCAGTGTATTCTCTCAAGTTATTGTGGGACCACTCAGGCAACTGCTTGATGAGAAAGGGTCATATAATTCTAGTAGCTTTGGAGCTAGTTGTAAATAACGTGTCTGTGACATTGCATGTGGTGTTTTTTGTTGTTAAGTCTGCATTTTACAAATTCTACATTTAGTGTTTATACCAACACTTACTAAAAAATGCATTATGTGTAGAGATAAGACTATAAACTGCCATAGGTTCTACTGTACCACTAGAGGACTGTTGAAAAGAATGGTCAAGTTTCTGCAATACTGTTACTGAAACTGCACAAAAGTCAGCTGTTTCTTCATTGATTTCTCTTTTTAAACCGAATTAACAACAAATACAGTGCAATCCTTTTTCTGCCTAAATTGTGGAATGGTTCTACTGAGGCCATTTAGTATTTCTCTAGTTATCCAAGAGAACCGATACAGTTTTTAGACCAGACTCAGCTGCCAGCTCGCATGCTTGCTTTGCTTCTTTTGGAAGCCATATGCTGTACATTAAATCATTGCACCTTGAACTTGACGCTTTAACAGGCCATTCTTTTTTAAGAACGTTAAAAAAATGCTTAAGCTGCTTTTCTAAAGGTTTGGTCGGGAGCCCTTGTTTGAAAGGAAGATGTGCAAGTATCAAATAGTATTATATATTCAGAAGATAACCGAAGGGTTTGTTAGGAAGCTTGATCTCAGTTAAAGTTCATTAAGAAGTGTCATTAAATTGTATCCTTAGTAAGTATCGAACTAAGTAAAATATTGATTTTGTTCAGAAAATAGCTTCACAACCTAATTTTGAGCTCATCCTTTTTTGTTGAATTAAATACCATTCAGATATGTGTGACTCTGGTCTAAACCTCTCCTCCGTGCACCAGACTTGTATATTCAATGGCCTTCTCCACTTCACAGCTACATGTTTCATAGCCTTCTCAGTCAAGTTCAAAACAGAAGTCTCAATTTTCCCCTCTAAGTCTCATTCTCCCTGCTTCCCTATCTCAGTAAATGACACCACCCATCGTCCAGTTACTAAAGCCCAAATGGACAAGATAACTTTAACTCCTCCCTTTCCTACACCCTTTGAACAATAAACCCTTTTAGTTTAACCAAATACACCTCACATACATCTACTTCTCTATCCATTCTATACATTGCCCTATAAACATTGTTCTTTCTCATTGGGGCTACAATAGAAGCCTTCAGAATAGTCTCCACATTTCTGTACCCTCCAGTTCATTTCCTAGACAACTTTTAAACCTAAATCAGATTGTGTTCCACTTGACACTCTGATACCTTTGTAGAGTAGTTTTAAAAACTTAAAACCATGGGTTACATACAGAGCCCTATATAATTTGGCCCTGCCTGATCTAGCTCTAATCATTACTTTAAAAGAAGTTGATTCTGGCTCGGCGCCTATAGCTCAGCCGGCTA